TAGCAATCTCAATTTGCTTTACACCATTGCTATTTTGCATTTTAATGATTAAAAAACATCATATTTAACAGGTGATAAGCAACTTTCAGGCTACCAATGCTGCATAGAAAACATTTGGATCAATGAAATAACTGTAATCGAAGACAACTCAACTCATTGGCCGGTGAGATTGGTTCGGATGAAATACCAGATAACCTGCTTATTTCAGAATAGTATTGAGAATGTTTGAGCAAATTTAAAAATACCCTCCAGTATTGGAATAAGATAGTGAGTGTTCAGACATTGCAAACTAAGATCGATTCGCTTGCTGCAATCATGGAACTATCAATAGTTTACCAAGGTACGAGACTATAATTATTTATGCCGAATAAATGAAGACGAATATCTGAAACACATTCACTGTGCAACTCTGAATATCTGTCAAAATAGCAGCTCGCTATTTCACTCTGATATACAAAGACCGGGATGTGCGATCGAATTTTAACAGGTTACAAGCGAAGTCGCGATTCCTAATTTCAGTTATCGTTTGAAAATTCGTTTTTCAAATCAATCAGCTGATGCGATTGAAAGTGCATCTAATGAGTTACTAGTAAAACAAGCAGGCACTAATGTACAAGAAAGCTTGCAGAGCGCGTTCAGGAAGTAACATGACTCTGGCAACTAAAGCTGACACAGTTTAGAGTCCGCTTCGCTTAAAAAGCAAAACGAGCCGGTTGTGTCTGTCAGCTATAATAGAATCAAGACGAAGATCTCCACATTTGCTACCTTCATCCAGTCACCATCGAATTCGCCATTTTCAAGCGTTGAGCGACAATCATTCAAATTTGCAGTCAGATGTTTATGAAACGTGTATAAACAAGAACATTCAGAGTCGATTAACGAGCTACAGGAAAACAGAGATCGTGGTGTCATAGTCCAACAGCACACATTATGCAACAGAAATCATGAGCGGCAGCATACACTTGAGGTTGTGATTATTTCACTCCCAGTTAGTCAGAAAAGGGAAAAGATTATGACGAAACTGCATGAGAAACGTGTACTATATTTTCGCATTCACGTCAAGAGATAAGACACGAAAACATTTACGATTACTTTGGCGGTTCATACGGCTTTCCGTTTCTCATTTGTGAAGGACCCATGTAACGTAGCCAATCATCCCAGAAATTTCTTTTCGCTGCTTCACTAGCATCACCTTCATGGTTCCGCAACGTCTCCCCCAACTCTCCGTTTATCCCTGAAAATCAAAACAACTATAGTGTGAAACAAGTACTTCAGTCTTTAGAAATCGGAGCAATGAACAAATGCAATCACGGATTGTTCCGTTCGTTGTACATTTCACACATTCGACAAACAGAATGTCGTTCTAACGATTTACTGACTGCACAGAACATGCATCACATGCTTCTAGTGAAATTCCGACATAGTCATCACAAAACAACATTCTTCCCCTACACGTGATTTCATACTCGCGCAGCCAACGTTTGTTCCCATTCCAACACACTTGTTTGTTGACAGTCGCCGAAATGCTAACTGTTCTCAGTCAACCGACGATTACGTCGGTGGACAGCAAAAAATACAGCCACGCAGTCTCAATCCATCCAACACAAGTGAATTCGTCATGTTCGCTCGTATTACGGTATGAATGCGCATTTAGATCTTTATTAGACTCAGTCAGGATGACTGTCTGATTGAGCGAACGGAAAATGATTGTTCGCTCAAGAACAAACGAGGTCACGGCAGCAATGGTTTCATTGAGGCTTACACTGTGTTACCGATATGCGGACGGTGATGTGGTGTTTGTGATTGTCGACACAGTGAGTAGACAATGTGACTAGCATATTGCACTCGCTACACAGAACTGATGGTGAAGCAGTCCAGCCAGAGAATAAACTATCGTCTGAGACGAGCTGCGAATTCATTAATAAGATACTGAGCAACTAATTCCGAACTGAATACACAATACTACCTATGGTCAAATCGCTCTTCGACTCTTCAGTTTCAGCATCATTCGACGGTGGAAAACAGTTGACGTTTGGATATATGGCGATAACCAACACAGTGAGTGTCCATATGAAGGCGAAGTGCATCTAAATCAGTAATGGTTAGTGTGCGACAATTACTCAGTCACGTGATGCACTTACCATTGGAATCAGACCGATTTTGTGTTGAGCGTAATCTGTAAACTGTGAGAATAAGTGTGTTTGCCTATTTATACGGCAATTTGAATATGCACTTTGAAAAAAGTGGCGTGGTGTGGTGTGAATGACCTGATAATAGATTTGCACTAGTATATTGTAAGTAAGTTTTGAATGTTTGTTGTTTGGTTGAATGAATGAGTAGTTGGTTTGTGTCCATGTTGTCCTGAGTACTGTACTTATTGGTGGTGTGAATTTTGTTGAGTATTGGTGATAATTGGTGTGAATCGTGAAACAAGTGTTTTGGAGTGGTACTTGACCTGATTGTTTGTAGTACAGCCACGTGAGTTTTTTGTGAATTTCAACTCAAAATCATACGGATATGAAACAGCTGGACGTTCGTGGATTGAAGGAACCGTAGTGTCTCCTTTTTCAAATATATCCGTGTTAAAGATTTAATATGGGTGTGTACACTTGGTTATGTTACGCAGGCGGTTGTTGATAACTGTACGAAAAATATTCCCCCAGTCTAAGTCACCTCCATTGAGTCTGCCTCAGTTTTCTGCATGTAGTTTGATTGATTCCAATCTAAAAATAGCTCATGAGTATCGTGATAATGACGGAAATCGAAAGTACTCTGCTCAGAGCCTACGAAATATTCGGTTTCTGTGACTAGCGACTATGCGGAGCATAGATTTATACTGATGCTCCCGTGGAACTTACGTGAAATCTTGAAATGTATTAGCCTGATAACGTGTAATTCCAACTGACTGTGAATGTGCCATATTCAGAGTATCGCTTGTCTACTTGAGTAATTTCGTCACTGTTTCTCCTGCTCACATACTGCAAAAAATTTGCATTTTTAAATAATTTCGCAGTTTCCAGTATATTTCCTTCGCTTTTTTGAGCATTCAAAATTTCATACAGTATGTAATTGGTTGTTAATGCCGTATTTTTCGCATTCTAGTATTTGAACCAACTGGTTTATATGAAAGTGAATGACTGCACAATAGCCTTTTTTAATGCAAGTCAATGTGATGAGACTATCAAATGTCGGAGTGTTTCATCCAATCTAATTACCCGGAGAGCATACGAATAACATTCTGTTCATTCTGTTGGAATAGAAACATTAACATTTATAAACCATTGTATTTGTGGAATTTTACGGAATATTTCGTTTATCCCTACTTTTGTAACGCACGTTCTTACTCATAATTTGCAAACTTACTTCTGCCGTGGTATAACTTCGCTAAAGCACTTTGAACATTTTGGAATTCTTTAGACACCATGAAATCGCTAGCAAGTACACTTATTCAATCTGGACTGTCTGTATTCTCTTTTTTCATACACTATATAGGATAACAGTTGTGGTCCGAAAGCAATAGGTTTTTTCCCATAGATTGATCAAACGAACATCGACATGCACGAGATGTACCATCCAGACTGCATATTGATTTAGTAATTTACTCTTGCAGTACGCTCCAACCCGAAAAGTGTAGGTGCATACACTTCATGACCAGTACAAGTCCAAAAACGATAATTCTGGTAAAGAACTGCTCTGCATTTAATCAAAAAAGGGAATTCAGACGGTTACCAAAACAATATTACACCTTCGAGTTTCTAATCACCACAACAGGTTCCGATACTGGAAGAATACGTGCTTCCAGTCAGTTACTGCTAGAGTATCAAATCCGAATATGGCTGTAGCCATATTAAATATCAAATTTAAACAACATATGTATAGTTCAGAAGGAAACATAAAAACTTCAATATATATACAAGATATAGAAATAATAACAAGATACAAATGATAAAATCTCAAAAATGAGATCAAATAAAGTACCAAAGTATCGAACAGAAGAGTCAGTCAGATCGTAACACAAATATGTATACATGGAGGGATTTTCCAAAACCAATACTTTCGAAATAGATTTTACACTGCACACCAGAAACATGGGTAGTATTAATAATAATTATAATATATATATTCTCAAATAACTACGTTACAATAGTCACACCAGTTTACAGGCTAGATCAAATTATCACAAATGCTTTCACATTTGCTGTAAAAGTTATCGCAGTTAAATTAAATATAAGAGTCAGTTTCTGATAGCATATTTACACCATGTCACTGACAGAAACAGTAAAACACAGCCACATTTTCAATGGTAGGATACAAATAATGTAGGTGCAAAATGGGTTCTTTTGGTGATTTGCCGAGATCAATAGTGAATTTGCTGGTATCGGTCAAACGGAACGCGCTTGATACGAGTTGTGATCCAGACAGTCATGTACTTAGTGTGCATGTTCCCTAGAGTAGCCAAGGATTTCCTACCGTGAATGGGGTTCTGAAAAGGAGAAAAGAGAGAGAAAAAGGCAGCAGTGTGGCAAGTGTATATATATTACCAAAGCACTACTACTTGCAGAGTCGATAAAATTATCTATAATTTTATGTGAGTATTTTAGCCATCTATAAAATGTCAATGTATTTTATGAAATATTTCAGTAACTGAAAAACGTTTTATAAATTATATGTTTGCAATTACAACATTTTGATCTCACCTGTAAGTTGACATGCCTCTTGCAACATGTTGTTATATGAGGATACATTATTATCACTAATATTAATATGATTATTATCACCATTATTATTGAAATAATTGACACACATATCTTTTATTATGAACAGGAAATGATGCTAGATAAACAGTGACGAAATTACTCAAGTAGACAAGCGATACTCTGAATATGGCACATTCACAGTCAGTTGGAATTACACGTTATCAGGCTAATACATTTCAAGATTTCACGTAAGTTCCACGGGAGCATCAGTATAAATCTATGCTCCGCATAGTCGCTAGTCACAGAAACCGAATATTTCGTAGGCTCTGAGCAGAGTACTTTCGATTTCCGTCATTATCACGATACTCATGAGCTATTTTTAGATTGGAATCAATCAAACTACATGCAGAAAACTGAGGCAGACTCAATGGAGGTGACTTAGACTGGGGGAATATTTTTCGTACAGTTATCAACAACCGCCTGCGTAACATAACCAAGTGTACACACCCATATTAAATCTTTAACACGGATATATTTGAAAAAGGAGACACTACGGTTCCTTCAATCCACGAACGTCCAGCTGTTTCATATCCGTATGATTTTGAGTTGAAATTCACAAAAAACTCACGTGGCTGTACTACAAACAATCAGGTCAAGTACCACTCCAAAACACTTGTTTCACGATTCACACCAATTATCACCAATACTCAACAAAATTCACACCACCAATAAGTACAGTACTCAGGACAACATGGACACAAACCAACTACTCATTCATTCAACCAAACAACAAACATTCAAAACTTACTTACAATATACTAGTGCAAATCTATTATCAGGTCATTCACACCACACCACGCCACTTTTTTCAAAGTGCATATTCAAATTGCCGTATAAATAGGCAAACACACTTATTCTCACAGTTTACAGATTACGCTCAACACAAAATCGGTCTGATTCCAATGGTAAGTGCATCACGTGACTGAGTAATTGTCGCACACTAACCATTACTGATTTAGATGCACTTCGCCTTCATATGGACACTCACTGTGTTGGTTATCGCCATATATCCAAACGTCAACTGTTTTCCACCGTCGAATGATGCTGAAACTGAAGAGTCGAAGAGCGATTTGACCATAGGTAGTATTGTGTATTCAGTTCGGAATTAGTTGCTCAGTATCTTATTAATGAATTCGCAGCTCGTCTCAGACGATAGTTTATTCTCTGGCTGGACTGCTTCACCATCAGTTCTGTGTAGCGAGTGCAATATGCTAGTCACATTGTCTACTCACTGTGTCGACAATCACAAACACCACATCACCGTCCGCATATCGGTAACACAGTGTAAGCCTCAATGAAACCATTGCTGCCGTGACCTCGTTTGTTCTTGAGCGAACAATCATTTTCCGTTCGCTCAATCAGACAGTCATCCTGACTGAGTCTAATAAAGATCTAAATGCGCATTCATACCGTAATACGAGCGAACATGACGAATTCACTTGTGTTGGATGGATTGAGACTGCGTGGCTGTATTTTTTGCTGTCCACCGACGTAATCGTCGGTTGACTGAGAACAGTTAGCATTTCGGTGACTGTCAACAAACAAGTGTGTTGGAATGGGAACAAACGTTGGCTGCGCGAGTATGAAATCACGTGTAGGGGAAGAATGTTGTTTTGTGATGACTATGTCGGAATTTCACTAGAAGCATGTGATGCATGTTCTGTGCAGTCAGTAAATCGTTAGAACGACATTCTGTTTGTCGAATGTGTGAAATGTACAACGAACGGAACAATCCGTGATTGCATTTGTTCATTGCTCCGATTTCTAAAGACTGAAGTACTTGTTTCACACTATAGTTGTTTTGATTTTCAGGGATAAACGGAGAGTTGGGGGAGACGTTGCGGAACCATGAAGGTGATGCTAGTGAAGCAGCGAAAAGAAATTTCTGGGATGATTGGCTACGTTACATGGGTCCTTCACAAATGAGAAACGGAAAGCCGTATGAACCGCCAAAGTAATCGTAAATGTTTTCGTGTCTTATCTCTTGACGTGAATGCGAAAATATAGTACACGTTTCTCATGCAGTTTCGTCATAATCTTTTCCCTTTTCTGACTAACTGGGAGTGAAATAATCACAACCTCAAGTGTATGCTGCCGCTCATGATTTCTGTTGCATAATGTGTGCTGTTGGACTATGACACCACGATCTCTGTTTTCCTGTAGCTCGTTAATCGACTCTGAATGTTCTTGTTTATACACGTTTCATAAACATCTGACTGCAAATTTGAATGATTGTCGCTCAACGCTTGAAAATGGCGAATTCGATGGTGACTGGATGAAGGTAGCAAATGTGGAGATCTTCGTCTTGATTCTATTATAGCTGACAGACACAACCGGCTCGTTTTGCTTTTTAAGCGAAGCGGACTCTAAACTGTGTCAGCTTTAGTTGCCAGAGTCATGTGACTTCCTGAACGCGCTCTGCAAGCTTTCTTGTACATTAGTGCCTGCTTGTTTTACTAGTAACTCATTAGATGCACTTTCGATCGCATCAGCTGATTGATTTGAAAAACGAATTTTCAAACGATAACTGAAATTAGGAATCGCGACTTCGCTTGTAACCTGTTAAAATTCGATCGCACATCCCGGTCTTTGTATATCAGAGTGAAATAGCGAGCTGCTATTTTGACAGATATTCAGAGTTGCACAGTGAATGTGTTTCAGATATTCGTCTTCATTTATTCGGCATAAATAATTATAGTCTCGTACCTTGGTAAACTATTGATAGTTTCATGATTGCAGCAATAAGTCGATCGCAGTTTGCAATGTCCGAACACTCACTATCTTATTCCAATACTGGAGGGTATTTTTAAATTTGCTCAGACATTCTCAATACTATTCTGAAATAAGCAGGTTATCTGGTATTTCATCCGAACCAATCTCACCGGCCAATGAGTTGAGTTGTCTTCGATTACAGTTATTTCATTGATCCAAATGTTTTCTATGCAGCATTGGTAGCCTGAAAGTTGCTTATCACCTGTTAAATATGATAATCATTAAAATGCAAAATAGCAATGGTGTAAAGCAAATTGAGATTGCTAGTGAATGGTGATTTCCATTTAAAACACGTTAGCTATTTACTTCACACCGGTTACAGTAAATTATCAGGTTTTCGATACTAGATTGTGACATTCAAATAATTTTGATGATATTGACCTTGTCTTCACTCATTAGTAGACAGTTTAAGTAACAAATCAGACAAGCGTAATCATTCTACGTCGAAACCACTGTGAGGTATGTCTGGCTCTCTCGAACAACAGCAGCATGCACACAAGGCCAATGCAGTAAATAGACCCACAGCTGTGTCTATTTGAGGTGTCCATTTTCAGAAATAGCTCATTCTCGGATGTTGACATTTGCTCAACAAAGGTGATAAATCCTCGGACAAAACGTGGTCAGTTCCACAGTTATGTTATGAATCAATTTGAGGATACATCCAGAACAACACACCTCATTGACCAGTGATGATGGTTCGGATGAAATGCCTGTTTATTTCAGAATGCAACTGAGAATACATGAATAAATCTACCAAACCTGCCTGATTCCATACTGAGATTCAGAGTGCACAGACTTTGAAAACTATGATCGATTCGCTTGATCTAGTCATGATGCGATCAACGTTAGACAATGAATGTAAACCTGTGTGCAATGGACATTAGCTTCGTCTTAGTGTGATTCGAGCAATACCAGATGATCCTCATTACTGTTTGCTGCTAATGCTATTACTTCCGCTGAATTTAAAGGCGTGAAGGGTAAAATAGGCTGCATAATTCTGTGCAGTCATGCTAACGGATGCGCTTGTAAATAAGAGAACCTTACATAAATAGTTTTCCGCCCAGTGTATGCATATCCTTCTCACGACAATCCATCAACTCACCGTCATTGAACCTTAATCACGAGTTTTCGAGCGAACGCGCTTATATAAAAGCGTTCTTTATTTGTTCAATTTCAGCAGCTTCCTTGAACCGGTAGTTAGCTTTAACGAAATCTTTAAAACCGTTGAAAGTAAATAGTGTTATACTAGAAAATTACCTCGCTCACAAGACATATGGCAGAAAACAATATGTGTTTCACGATCAAATTCATTCAATATCTAGTGATCCTGGGAGTACAACATTTTACGGAATCCAAAATATTTTACCTGATTTATTCAAGTCATGAATAGAATTACCAAACGTTGAACAGAACTGGAAACCAAGGCTTAGGAAACAGTAGGTTGTAGAATGCTGGTCTGCAATTTATGCTCAATCAGGTGAACAGGCATAAGTGGGCAATTTAGTAAGTTCCCAAATAAAATCCAGGCCAATGATGAACAGCTTTCAATGTTACTCAACATGCGCAGATTAGAGAAGTCATGGAAGTGTCTTAAACAAAATGTTCCTTCGTGACTGCCAGTCCAATTACTATCCATGAATGAAATGACATCCAATGTGAAGGCAAGGAAAAGCGTTCACGGAGGCAGCTATACTGAACGACAAATCGACTATACATATTAGTCAACTATGTAAGATGGCCTGTGTTGAGCCAACTAATAACACAAGAATAACAATAAATACATTGCTTGACGCTAACAGTATTCTAATCTTTGTAGCAAGTGAAACGGTTTTGATCTCATTCGCAGGTTTACATTTGCAGACAGCGCAATCGATAAGAGAAAAAAGATATGCAACTGGTAAATGGGAAAGTGGGTCTTTATTTGATGAGTTGAGATGTAATGGGACTTGTTGTGAGCGTCCGTTCAAATAAGCACCAACAAACTTCAGAAGGTAATTTTCAAGATCTTACTGGTGTATAATGATTACATATTCATTGAACAACCAGACTATCAGAAACATATTCATTCTATCCTTTTTTCCACTCCTGTTGTAAGTGGAACAGTTTTGATCCGAGTTGCATGTTTAGGTGTAGAGACGGTCTATTTGATATTAGAAAAAACTGATACGACTGCTATTCTATCACAAGCCTTCTATTATTCCAGAAATTGTTATCATGCGAATTGCTGTCCTTATTTTGTTGACAGTTTGTTATTTACAGTATTTCTCATAATCATAATCACGTTTGGTTATCCTATGTCTAGTAAATATCATCGAATATTTGGTGTGCAGTGTTCCGGGTTTGAATTTCATGAGATTTTCTTGATCATCGTTGAATTCGTGAAACTTGAACTAGTATTCAATGAGTTGGTGTATAACTCAATCAACATAGATGTGGATTCGATCTCTTTTGAAGTTGTCCTATGAATCTTCACATGATTATATTTTGCTGTAGCTGGAGCATCAGAAAACAATGTTGCTGCCGTATATGATACAGCAGTTGTCGTTACAGTTAGCCTCGAGTACCCTCCATCCCTAACAAATTGATCAGTATCTGAGTAGTGAGCAATTAATTACAGTTCTAGGCGTGCTGTACTAATATGCATTTGAGGTTGTTAGAACGCTGAACATTCCGCTGATCAGTTAATCGTACACCTCGATACTATGTGTCCAACTGGTCACCATTCACAAAATCCACATATTGACGAAACAGCAAATGAAACAATATGAACAGACAGACAGTAAGATGATTGATCAGTAGAATAAGTGTTTTCGTAGGGAAACTACATGCCCAAACACAGAGTATTGTACGTGAAGGTGAGCATGACTGGATGTTATTTAGCACATGCACAATCGTGTATTGTGAATTTTCGCAGCTCACTCACGTGCATAATAAACCAAGCCCTATTGATTTCATGTTCGTATGATGGTGATACTTGTTAATAAAAATGTATGAAAGAAATAAACAATGTCTGTTTTATATCGTGTGTAGGTAAGACCTGCGTCTACTTTGTTCATTGCGCTTGATAACAAGGTTGTTTCTCTCAGATCCAGAGTGCAGAAAATAAGGTTGCTGAAAGTATTTTCACTCGATATTATCAGTTTCAGACCCCTGAATCCGATGTTTTGTTTCACTGATTGCAAAGCTTTGTATGTCTCAACCCGGATACCTTTACATCCTTATCAAAAGTTGGTGATTTCCTGAATTATTTTAATCAACGTCACTACTGAGCTTACTCTAATGAACAGTGCAAATGTCATGTTGATAGCTGATTCTACTTTTGTTTTACAACATCAGTACCACCATTATTATTTGTTCTTATTCACTGTTTGCTTCAAATCGATTCACAGAGCATTCAATACCGTTGGATCATGTTAGGCTTCTCCCAATGTTCGATCATGACGGTAATGCGATAGAATATTATCGCATTCATATTCACTGTGCTGTTTTATCACTTTTAAATTCCCATCTACACTCATCTTCAGAGTAGAAGCACGCTTAAAGTCTTTTAGGTATTTGATTTCACGATTGCATTGAGCGTAAGCAGCTGCGTAGTCGGGAGTCAAGTAGTTTGTCAACTGTTGAGCTGCGACTCCACACTCACAATCTCACAACATCATAGTTTGTTTTGGATTCTAACTTCAAATAATGGGTGCATCTTTACTTTCGATCATATCAATGAAACATTGAAAACATCGACCACCGCATACTGAAAATATCACAACGGCACTTGCAAACAGCATTTTTCAAATAGCATTTTCAATAGTTCAGTTCATTCGCAAAGTGTACTCGAAGGTTTTAGCTTGTCGAGATCCTTATTTCATGAAGTGATTCATTATGAGGCACTTGTCGATAATCAACAGATAGAAAACGGTGATTTATCTTTGAATGCTTAACTGTGATCAGGCCAGTCAACACTCGTACGTGGTATATGATATTTAAGAGTATTAAAGACTCCCATTGTGAAAATTAGAACAACAATATTGGTCGCTTATATGTGTTGTTCTAGTATATGATATTCTTATGTCGATTGATCTAATGATGATGAATCTTGTGCAACACACAGTACTAAACATTTGGGACAAAATACGTTCTTCCATCTTGTTAATTTTGCAAGATACTCATTCGTCACACTAATCAAAATTGAAATACTAATTCGGATGTCTTTTGTATGCCTTAATAAACCACCTTTACCTCTAATGTATTATACAATTCAGGGTAGGTGTGTGCCAAAGACGATTGAGCGATCAACACAAAATACCACATCAACTATTCAAGTTGTAGACTGTATTGGTTTGGAGCATACTGAATGAACTCAGAATACTTGATCCAGGTGTCCAGACAGCTGCAATCAGAAATCAGTAACGTTGTATATACGTCTCTAATCGGTTCATAATCACATAAATGCATTCACTCTTTGTTTTGTTCTCCATTTAATATGTGAGTTTCGAAATTCTCAAACCATCACATGCCGATGTTGCTGTCTGACTCGATATTTTGAGACTCATAACTGTACCCATCCAACTCACTATTGTGATCAACACATCTCGATTTCCACAAAACATCACGTGGATCTAAAACATCTGGACTTTGGTAGAATAAAGAAACCGTAATGCTACATCTCTGTTCTGAATTCAATACGTGTGTGCATATTTCGTTGTGTTACGCATGTAGTTGTTGATAACTGTACGTAAAATATTCCCCCAGTCTAAGTCACCTTCATTGAGTCTGCCTCAGTTTTCTGCATGTAGTTTGATTGATTCCAATCTAAAAATAGCTCATGAGTATCGTGATAATGACGGAAATCGAAAGTACTCTGCTCAGAGCCTACGAAATATTCGGTTTCTGTGACTAGCGACTATGCGGAGCATAGATTTATACTGATGCTCCCGTGGAACTCATGTGAAATCTTGAAATGTATTAGCCTGATAACGTGTAATTGCAGCTGACTGTGAATGTGCCATATTCAGAGTATAGCTTGTCTACTTGAGTAATTTCGTCACTGCGTATATATTTAGATACCACTCTGCTTATCTAGATGTCTGATGCAAAAGCGTAACTCCGCATGTACCTTGTGAAGTGAACGTAAGAAGATAGTTTCGTTCGTACCTCAAGGTTGAGAGATTGAGATTGGAATATCATGCACAGTCAAGGGCGACGCGGTCTGCTGACTGTTGACTGGAACGCGAGAAGCTCGTCTCGGATTTATGAGGCAAGAGGATCGATGGAGAAGTGATGATCGCAATAGTGTGTCGGATGGGTCTAGCATTGAGTATCCAAATATCGAGTCGGACACCGACATCGGCATGTGATGTTCTGAAACCTAGAAAAGTACAATCGAATCTTTAGCTGTAATCACAATGCGATCAGTGTAAGAACAAGAATTTTAAAAGTGTGTGCAGCGGACAGAGATTACGCAAACGCACACTAACTTAATTGGTTTCTAGAACACCGATTCAACTGGAGAAAGAAACAAATTACGGTTTCGCCAATCCACCAAAGTTCAGATGCTTCACATTCGTGTGATTTTGGGTCACACCACCGAAAAGTACAGTACTGATCACACCACTGCACTGCACCTTACTTCAATTACTATTGTAAAGTAATTATATTACTCTTGCAGTCCACTCTGAACACGAAACGTATAGGTTCACACGCGTCATGACCAGTCCAAGTCCAAAAACGATAATTCTGGTAAAGAACGGTTCTGCATTTAATCAAAAAAGGGAATTCAGACAATTACCATAACAATATGGCTGTAGCCATATTAAATATCAAATTTAAACAACATATGTATAGTTCAGAAGGAAACATAAAAACTTCAATATATATACAAGATATAGAAATAATAACAAGATACAAATGATAAAATCTCAGAATGGGATCAAATAAATTACCAAAATATCGAACAGAAGAGTCAGTCAGATCGTAACACAAATGTATATATATGGAGGGATTTTCCAAAACCAAAACTTTCGAAATAGATTCTACACCGGCACGCAAAATCCCTCCATGTAAAACAAGTGGGCAATTTAGTAAGTTCCCAAATCAAATCCAGGCCAATGATGAACAGCTTTCAATTTCACTCAACATGTGCAGTTAAAAGAATCAATGAAAATGTCTTCAGCCATGTGTTCTTCAAGATTCCAAATATATTGTATCATATAGAATCAAATTCTCCGATCAAATACTCGATGTTTATCCTCAATGTATTCCAATGTTTGAGTAGTGATGATTCATAGCGCAGCTGTTGAAACAGTAGGACGAATGAATATTTCAGACAAATAATTAAAATAGATCAATGGGTTTCTTGGCATAAAAGCGTGACTAATTCATATCATTGAACATTGAGTGTAAGTGGTGGACCAGTCACAGGCCTTGACAAACCATGCAGTGTGTATGGATGACTTAAAGTGACCGCAATCACTTCAATGCTTTGTTTAATTCGTACAGGTGTTGATGATGAAAGTTGTTGTAAAAGTATATGAGCTATGAAATTGAATAATCTCAAATCTATGATACTAAAAGGACTATACAAAAATCAGAATTAATCATTCAGCAGATGCATTGCTTTGGATTATAATTTAAGTGTGAGAGTTGATTATATAACCTGTTTGGCCAAACTGAGGAGAGGTTAGTGGGGTTTGGAACTGGGACGTGATGGTTGATGAGCGAGTGCTTAACCCACAGCCACTGATTCAAAAATAGTAAAGTAGTTCTGCTCCTGAAGAGAAAAAGTAATTCACCGTGTTACCATGTGCAACAAGATGCATCACATCATTGCTTGCTACTACTTACCGTATGCATATTAAGTGTGCCGGAAAATCTACAGGATTAATCAAGTTAATACACTACTTTTAAAACTGAGAACTGGTTATTTTTGAGAGTTTCTTCTTGCCGTCTTTTTGCACGGACACTATTTACAAGTTGAACAAATCCACCTCTTGTATTTCAAAATCAATACAACAGCTTGCTCATTAGTATTCCAATATGTTTCGCACTTACTTTGCATTAGCTATTTCTTGACTTTCAAACTTCATTTGACTGGATTCAAATCCGGTTAAAATCCTTTCGGCGATAAGATAAGTCCAGAGATTCGAAACAACAGTTTCTAATGACAGCGATATAATGGTTCATGATAAAATAAAATGCTACTACCTACCTCAGCAATCTAATGATGCTAATTAGCCGAAAATGAACTAATCCAAATATTTGCACCAAGTGTGCAATTGATGGGTTTCTATTCTGTCAAGTGTAGGAACTGTTAAGCAATCATTGTCTTTATACGTATAAAAATGAAGAAAGTGTGCATTCACACATACCGAAATAAAAACAACTTACATATGAACAAATATTAGACCAGGTCGAATGACGTTGTGAATAACTTGAGGAGAATGGACCAATTAACCTTTCAAAGGTCGGGTTCAGCCGCGTGAGCTTCTCTCTGAATTGTCCTGTTCCAATGTCCAATCCAATGGTATTATAATCTCAGTCAACCAGACAAGTATTATTCCATCTAATTATCGCATTCTCGTGTTATCACTTCCAATTTCTTATGGGTAACAGATTATGACTGACTGACTAATCTGTTATTTTATATAAATAAGTATGACTTGAAAGTTTATTAATCAGCTTGTTTTTTTTCTACTTGATCATGTTAACAAACAGCCAACATGTTTTATAAGCATCAATGTTAATTGTGTTTCAATCTAATGACACTTGTGGCGAATTCATGATATTTTGTTGGCAATATTTATGAAATGTTAATAAAAGATTAAGTTATACAAGGTGATCATGAATGTGTTCAGCTTGTGCCGAAGTAATTATTGATTTCGTCAAGTAAATTTTGATGTTCTCTAATTTTTGTAGCTTTTAGATTTTCACCATTTACACGATTCATTGTCAGTTGCATATAATCACTCTAGCTATGTATATAGGTGTAACACATGAATAAAAGTCAATTGGACTTGTAGTGGAACGCTTCTACGAAGAAAATATGATTTGTGAAAAATAAACATTATTGTACTCGTTTTGTTTAACTGTACCAGAAACACTTCTACTA